TTGTATTGCGCCTTGCACGTGTACATTTCGCCATGTCTACTTCCGAGTTAGGGCATTTACTTGTGAATGATAATTATCAGATTGATAATCGAAGTAAAAGAATAAGAATAAGATTGTACGAACTGGACCCGTCGAGTCCTGCGCGATACGAATGCTACGCTCACGATCACGCCCGAGGTGCTGCTCTCGGAGCTCGAACTCGATCCATGAACGTGCACGAGCACAATTGAGTGCTACGTGGTCGTGAAACCAAAAATTTACAGATTCATGGAGCTTGCTCCCGAAGGCTGAAGACCTCGCCGGGAGTTAGGCTCCCGGGTATCGCAAGTTACATAAAAGCAGGTAGGGAAAACACATGGTTGACCTTAGGCCGATATGCTAGCGAGCGAGAACGAGCGAGAGAGCCAGAGGGCGAGAGAGTGGAGGGCGCGCGACGATGTAAAATCAGAAAAGGTCGAACATTAGCTTCCGATAATTTGGTTTACCGAATATCTGCATGTGTGAGTCTGCTTTGTGTGTAATTCATTAACATTGTGCACCATCCATTAAGCCATTGTAGATTAAATTTAAAAGAACATCATAATCTAACGCCAGACGATTTTTATTCCACTCTACCTCACACCTTACAGCTTGGCCTTTTTTAATATGAAAATTGGAAAAATTGATTCGAGATATTAAAATTGGAAATTTGTTTTAGACCATTGTTAACTAACAAATTTGCTAATCGAAGCTAGTGTGCATCTAGAAAATAGGCGCGCAAATATATAATACATTTATTGCGGAATCTCGTCGTGAAAATCTGGCGAATTAGCGCTTGGAGCAACAGCAGCGTCGCTGCACTTTTGAGGAGTAAAATCTCCGTGAAAGCCGGGGCAAAAACTAAACAAAGCGCTTAATACTATGCTTCAGAAAGAAAATGCACTCGAGAGAGCGAGCGAGAGAGAGAGAACCTTATCCTCTCATCTAATGCTCGCGCGAGACACAAACACACAAAGAGAGAGTTGCATTGTGCTCTCGCGTACAACTTCTCTTTCGGCGTGTCGCTGAGTAGAAAAGAGCTGCAGTTGCTACGGTCAAAGGCCAAAGATGCCGTCGACCCTAAAAAGACACGTATATTTTATCATTTTTCTTCTTTTTATTATAGCGGGCAGAATATTTGAATAGCATTATATGTTGACCAGACATTTTACGCTTATGTTAGACGTCGCTAATAAAATAATTTACAGCTATACGTAAATATTTACGATCAGATCGTATACTTTGATACGCTGCCTTTAGTTCACAGTGATAGAAGGCTCGTTAACAACTTTGTCAATACTTTTTTTCAAATAAATGCGCTAGAGAAAATGTGATTAATGATGACTTTCAATAAAGAGAGTCGTCTGGGTACTTTAATTACTTCTCAAGTAGATCAGCAGACGAAACGAAAATCCCATAGTAACGTACAGATAGTCGAGTGTGAAAAATTAATGAATCTGATATGCGATCGTGCACGTGAAATAGAGATCCGCAAGCAAAAGACAACCAATGAAAGTCAATGCAGCGGATCAAGTCTATAGGACAGAGTTTCCCTCGAAGCGAGGCAATGAGAAAGAGGATTCGTCCGGTACCCCCCACCCTCCAACGGTGGTGCAGCTACTTGACGTTGCAATCGGTTGGAGGCGTGGGTATAGAGAGGTCAAAAAAGCTGCCATTGAAAGGCGGTACACGTGCGAATAAATGCGCGCTTGGTCCGATAAAAAAAGAGTCTCGCTGTATCACCTTTTTCGGCTTTGAAGAATTCTGTGGCCACGAGAGTTGGTTGAGAATACGTAATGCTCGGCCCTTCATTAGAACTCTTTCAACTATTTTTTTAATGTAACTAGAAGGATAATATCGTTTTATTGGAAAATATTGATGTAAAAGTGTTATGCTAATGGAGAGAAATGCAATTGATGTTACTTGATTTGATTCGAATGCAATTGGAATTTCGAGCGACATTCTACAACTCTAGTGCAAATGCAGTTACAATGGAATTCTAGTTACCCTTTCACGAGATAACATTGTTAACTTTATTTTGTCTGGCAAATTTCGAAATACAAATTTGTATTTTCCACGCAGTCAGCGCTGCCAAAAAGTATGATAATCTTTATTTCGTCAATCGACAAGCTCAGTTCGTTTCCGTGTGCAAATAAGGAAGAGAAAACGCTCCAAGGGCTGATTACCATAGAGCAACTAATACCCATGTGCGTTTAAGCAAGCCTTTCCTACTTATTAGACTTTGAATTGTTCAAAAGAGAGAGAGAGAGAGAGAGAGAGAGAGAGAGAGAAAAGCGAATGAAAAAAACGAGAGAGAAGGTCGTATCATCCGCAAGGACAAAGTTTCGATGGCTAATGTGAAAAATCGCCTCTACGCCTGGGAAAACTTTAATGCCAACTTTGGCAAAGTAACAATTTTTTTTCGTCTTCTTACTGGCTTTTCTCTTTCACTTTCTTTTTTTCTTCTATCCATGCCAGACACATGAGTGACGATCAGTTCGTCTTTTGATATTACTGTAATTTTAATCGATAAATCATTAGTCGCCTGAAAAAATGTATACTGAATTCTTTTGGAATATCAAACTATTTTAAAATCTTTAATGTTAACAAATTTTAAATAAAAAATCTGTAAAAGTCAATCTAACGACGAACATAAAAGTCTCTGAACTTCTAAAATCGAAAAATTTGGGTAAATCGATACTTATCATCATTCATAATTGTTCGAAGCAACAAAAACCAGACAATATGAATACGCCAGAGAAAGACTGTTAAGCAATACTCACTAAAATTCACTCCGTTACGAAACCTCATTATCGCGTCTGTAATTACCAGGGGAAAATATACGGCGTTTTAGCCGAAAGAGAGTATTTTTCACTCGGCAAAACTTTGAGTTTTAATAACCAAGCTGGAGAAAATTGGCTCGGCTGCACAATGTTCATTCTAGGCAAGTTTTACCAACTTGACGTTTCTCTCGTCTTAACGAATGTTTATTCCCCAAGCACGTATTTCTCCCAGGATGCCTCGACTAATTAAAGGCAAACAGAATAAAAAAAGTTTTTGGATCACGAAATGACAATAAGTTTCATATCTCGACTCTTGCACTCTCACTCTCTCTCTCTCTCTCTCTCTCTCTCTCTCTCTCTCTCTCTCTCTCTCTCTCTCTCTCTCTCTCTCTCTTCAGTATTACGCGTAATTAGCATGTCTAATTAACACGCGACCTACTGAAGTTAGATTCTCTCTAGCGAGTTGTACTAGCGGTTGCGTCGGTGGAAAATTACGATGATGTCTTCCCTGTCCGCGCTCAAGCGAGAAAGTTACTCTTAACGGAATATTTTCAATTTACGTTGTAATTATATCGGGGAAAGAGCTATTTGGCACTTTATTGATCTCACGAAGAAAAGTTAAAGATGTGTGCGTTGAATGTGTATTTGTTTTTTTTCTTTGCCGATGCGAACGAGGAAATAACAAAATACCAAAAAAAGGGGAATATTTGTCCAGAAACTAAAAATAAACAGAAGAGAATCGATATTCACATTCGGTGCTTTTACTTTCTCTCTCTTTCGTTGGAAATCTCAATTTTCTGAGTATAACTGGTATTTCGCGATTGCCCCTAGCTTTCTGCGGTGTAGAGCTGACACCTGATGGAAAAATGTCATTTTCAAGCTTGAAATACGGAAATGAGTTTCCGTCTTACTTACTCGATCATCGCAAATTTTGAATCGAAGTTTCTCATGTATATTTTTGGCTTTGCAACAAGGTGTGAAAAACACATATATGCAAGTGACTAGCTATGCAATAGATAATCAATAATTTTATAATTATCTTCTTATATCGTATAAAAATTCCCATTTAACGATATATATGCTTATGCTATAGGTAGAAAGACATTTCTTCTAGTGAAGTCAAAACCAGACACCTTTCAGTGAACTTATTAATTCGGTGATAGAAATGAACAATTTCATTGAATACAAGTTAATGAAATCCTCTTCAAAAAAATATTATCTTAATAAAAGAAAATTGACCGTGTTCATTGGTCAAACAAAAATGTATGCAAAATACGAGCCAATCTGTACAGTCAAAATTCATAAAAAATTCGGAAATATCTAATCGAGCTGTAACAATTTCAAAAAAAGAAAAAGCCGTTGCACGAGATTGAACGAAGAGGTGGACAATTAAGTTCACCGGCAGCGGCTCGCGGGCTGATGACCGCGCGTTAACTAATGGCCGCTCGGAAACCGAATGAGCGCCGCACAAAGGGCCAACTCTCGTTGGCGCCGCCGGCTTTTCGAGGAGTTTGCAAACGGCTCCGCACACGTACTCATTGCCTGGCACCGGAGATACTCTGATTATCCTTCCAGCCTATTTTCGAATGCCTTACTAATTTACTTTCCTTTTTATCCATATCGTTAGAGCTATTTATTTATTGTTGCTATTTAATGGCAGTTGTAAAATTAGCTTCACAAAGTGGCTATGGGACTTGCCGGGAATTTATTCAAAGCGAGACGTGGATACATGTCGGAGCACAAACAAATTTGCAGCGAACGAAAATGTCAGCGTTACTCCATATATATGTGCTCTGATTTGGACAACTGTAGCCAGGATGAGTGCTCCGTCCAAAATAACCGACGCTATAGCTGTTGCTCGCGCTTGGACAGATGTGCGACCGCAAAATCAGGCCGAGCGGTAGACATAATTGGGCAGAAAGGGAAGAGGGAGTTATGTTTGAATTGCGTATTACTATGAAAATAACGATGAATTTTTCTCCGTTTTCCCTTTAGTTTATCCAACGAATTATTTCGTTAATTTTTTTGATCGGCGATCAAGCGTTTTCTTAGGCGACATTCAAGAGACAATTAAAATAGTAAATTGAATGAATCGTTCAACAATAGCAGCAATTTCTAACGATCGAAAGTCGACATTGAAGAAGCTATGAATGTGCCTGACGAAAGTAAGTCTCTACTACTTGGAGCTATGCTACTAACCTTTGCCGTGTAATTGCTGCCGGTTAGTATCGGCTCGCAGATTCTCGGCTGTGTGGACCAACTCGTCCAGCTGCGGTTTCTTCTGCTCCAGTTCCCGCAGAACCGTCTGCAACAAAAAAGCATCTTGTTTACTCGACGTTTCAATTACTCGAAGCACGCAGCTTGATAAAGCTCCAACCGTTATTTCCCTACGTTAAATTCTGAGTGAAGAGTTAACTTTGACTGAAATTGGATTGGCGAGTTCAACTCTAATTTAATTTCGACAAGTGCGCAGATATTTCAGTTGTTCAGAAACGCATATTTGGCAGGTGTACGTGCAACGTTGAAATAAATCTCGTTTTCCACTTTCGTGAGTGCGCGCGTGCGAAGAAAAAAAAGCTCTCTGGCTGTAGGCATTTTTCTGGAACAAATTAGAGTGTACCGCCTAGCTGCAATTTATCCCTATTATGCTGCAGACCAGTCTAGAGACGCGCCGAGCGAAAGAAAAAAATACAGGCAAAGAACATCGTGGAAAACACATAACTTTTATTAAAATAGCGTTAGATTTTGCATACTGCTTGTTAAGTATACCATAAATTATTAACTCTACGAGCCATATAATCACCAGGACTGTAACGGCTTTGTGCATCGACAAGCAAAGTGCTGCATCTTCTATTGTCTTTAATTCAATTATATTACTGTAATTTCATAGTGCACGATACTCTCATCAAGATCCAATTATTCGCCAATCGACCATAAAAAAAGCCTAAAATAAAATAAGCCAAAGCAACCCTCTCAAAATTGAAGTAAAGCAAGCAGCCCGTAAATCAAAATGAGCGCGATATTCCCACGCGATAATCCCTAAATCAGGCATCGCAGAGCCCCGTACGAGCAGGTATATAGGTATATTGCTTATGCATTCATCGTCAGTGATAAAGTGTTGCACGCTCGTAAAAATGCAAGACGCGCTTGCTGCGCACACAAACATACAGCTCGATCGCGCGCGCACAGCCATTCTGTTCACGCGGCACGGCGTGTGGAGAGTGGATCGATAGTCAGGCACGCGCCGCTTAAAGCCTTTAAGATTCGCGTGTATGTGCAGGTAGACTAGCAGCCACCGGCACAGCCAGCGCGCGGGACGAGCACAAATATCGATTGCGGCATTCGCAGACGAATTGCTCTCCGCGTTCTTTTGATGCCTGCAGTTGCCTTCTTTCTCGTTTTGTTCTTCAAAGACGACAAATGGACACGCGAAATGCAACATAAAGACAAAAACTTCGCTTACTTTTTACGAACAAAGTTTTTCAACAGCTCGGCTCTGTTGCCGGCAACGTTGAATGTAAAGCGTGGATTGTGCATGTGGAAACCGAAAGGACACGAGTGAGCATCGTTTAGATTTCAAATTCTGCAACGGAATTAGATCACATTAGCGTGAATGAAGGTATAGCAGCTTGACTTTCGCGCATCAACAAGTAAAATAGAAAGTCACATTATTCTTGTAGGTTGAATTTCCAGTTGATTCGTAACGATCATGGAGGCAGCCAAGAAGAGAGAAAGGGAGTTACTCTCGAGTATATCAGAATAATAATGTAGCTAAAGAGAAGAAGAAGAAAAACTCTGGAGATACGCCAGGCCAATTGACATTATGGATTTCTCATGGCGCGCGACTACAGAGAATGATAAGAATCGAGACGAAATTGAATTTTTTACGAGGCTAAATAGGTTAAGATCGGATCGATGCTTCCTAAGGATTTATGGCTTGGACGCTAGATATCTTAAACATTCTTAAAGTTTTCGCTTTTTACGGAAGCAAACAGGCACACAGGCGTGCGCGTATAGTTTAATTAATCATCTTGTGCCTAGCACCAATGATTACTCAACTCGCTCGGTAAACAACTTTGCCTACTAGCTCCTAAAGTATGTATATACATCTATCCTATCTATCGTTATCGCCGTCGTACCTCTGTGCGCCTGAGACGTGCGACTAGTTCAAAGCGTTAATTTCAACCACTGCCACGGCTAATTGTCGGCAGCTTGAATGTATCTATGGGACGAAAACTCGACGTATCATCTTTTTTTCAAAATGACCATTTTACGTACGTGTTTCATATATCAATGAAAAAGTAATAAGCTTCTTGGCAATGCGTTACAATGAAAATGCCGAATAATTATAAAGTATTATATTACATTCGCAGTACACAAGTCGCGTGTCCTAGTCTCGTTCCGCGTTCCACGCATATTCGCTTTTAGCTTCCGCTATTGCTGCTGCTGCTATTACTACCCTGCCACACACACTTTCTCTATCTCTCCCTCGATTATCATGGCGTTTGATCTATACATCTCTTCTTCATTCTCTGTCTGATTAATCCTTTTCTCTTTGATATTCGTTAACTTGAATTTTTCGGATCTTATTTTTTTAGAGTGAGTTTTTTTCGTGACTATATCGAAATTAAAAGTCCTTCTACTGATGACTAGTTCTTTTTCTTTTTTGGACTTTTCGTTTTTGGAAAGGAATGTTTCGATGTGTATGTGCACTAGTTCCCGGAAAGGTTTCGAAAACGAGCTACTAAAAGAAAGCATGAAATAACTAAAAATCATATTTTTGATATAGAATACTAATCCATTCAATATGCTCAAATTAAATTGATTGATACGAAAGGCTCGTATGTACAAATTTTGCAAACCTTGTTATTTCTTGTTAAATTGCTCAGCAGCTTATAAGCTTTAAATCTCCAGCAACTCTGGGAACACGAGAAGCTTGGAGTTTTGCAAAAGCTTTCTCTCTGTTATAATTCACAAGCGTGTATTGAATTATATTGAACGGAACTTGGAGAAAAATTTTAACAACCAAATTCGGAACTTTCCGAATAAATTTTTCAAGCTTCTTGAACTTGGGAAGAAGAGCAACACTGACTAGCTTGTATCATTTGAAATGTAATTTATATGAAAACTTTTGTCTATTTTTGTCATTTTTTTCTCGCCAATACTGACATACAGACAATAAAAATGTATCTAATACCTGAAAAAAAAATCCCGCGTAAATCGTCATACTAAACAAGCGTAAATCGCCGCGTAATGGCCATAAATAAAATGAAATCGTTGCGTTATTGCAGCCAAACCTTCTGGGCCGTTCTAACGTATTAGTAGGAATTTCAGCTGACAGGTATACGCAGCTATACAGTATTAAAGCGTCGAAATACTGGCAGGCGCGCCGCGATGATATGACGTGCACGCCAAAACACAAGCTCTCAGGAAGTAGATACCTGCGACAGCCCTTGCGCTTTGCGTTGTACACGCGGGCTTTGATTGACGAGTCTGATCTCGTGATTCTTCTTTCCCCAATCAAGAAATTTTTTTCCGCGTTCATATAACGCCGCCAAGTTATTTATACATCTGCGCGAACAACTTTCCGCATTTTAATCTCGACTCGCGCAAGCGTTCTCTCGTATAAAATCACCTGCTGCAAATTTGAATTTCTAACGAAAAGCTCTAGCTCTTGACTTGCAAATTGCTGGGGAAGCGGAGGGCGACGATGATGAAGAAAGCGAGAATAAATGAGAATGCTACTTTACGAATGACACTGTTTTCGAATGGCGAAAAATGTTTACGCGAGGCATGTAGCGAAGTGCGGGGTCAATGAAACTTAAGTGCAATGACCCGTTAATCACCAGTGGACAACGACTGAATCTAGCTTTGCTAGGCTCGGTCGGTCACTTACCCTCTTAGAGAGTTGGTGCTGTCATCGAGACAGGCACCACGAAACGCGACGACTGTAGGTAACCGCGTTATCGGCTGTGCAGAATGCAAATGTTTGCCGCGGTGGAAAGGCAAATTGTACTCGAAACTACCGCTCAGATTAAACACTGAGAAAGTTTTCTTATTCGCGAAATTTCATGTTCGCTCTTTGATAGAGATCATCCGACTGGTGTCGGAGTTTCAGTAAGTGACTTTCGCGACCGATGCCAAAACATTTATTGATCGTTAAAACAAGTAACGCACCTTTTGCTTGTCAATGAGCTGGAGTATATTGTCGACATCACCGACGATGACAACCTGTTGACGTATCATGTCTTCCTTAGCTGCGAGCCAGTCGCGTATCTGAAAAGAGTATTCATTAGATAAATTGCGACCTAATTGGCACGTGTAATTTTATTGCCGATAATCTAACAAGTCTGCTTCCAAAATATTCATACTTTACTATTATTGTGATTATCGATTTTTAATTTTTGTTCATTACGAAAGCTTGCCAATGATCAAATCAAAGTCCGAGTTTGGTACCGGCACACTCATCCTATTAAATACTAGTAGTTAAGCTATGGTTCAGTCAGCCAAGGTGAAAAAAGCTAAGCTTACTCGAAGTAGCTGGCCGTCAGGCTGATTAGGCGTCGAGGCTGATAACGGGGTTGCGCTACTGGGGCTGCTGCTGCTGCTGCTGCTGGTTGTTGGGGCTGGCGAGCCGGTGGTTACTGCTGCGCCTACGTTCCTCTCGCGCTCTGCAACAACTTCAACAATGCGCAATTATGTAACGTTACAAAAATAGCTTCAAAAAATCCACGATCCACGAGCTGCTTCAATAGATATGTCGTCGTACAAATTCTAAGGGTAGAAGATTCTTTCTTTATTTTATCGTCGGAGAGGATTGATGAGATTATTTGGCCTATGATCGAGAACACGGAAACGAAAGTATCGATGATTCAGCAAACGAGTGTACCTTCAGCTGACGAGGAGCGCAAAAAAGCTGCGAGTAATCTACAAGTAGGAGTTCGATGTACAGAGATGTATGTCCGACGGTGCCACAAAAAAAATCTGTTTACGTTCCAAACAAAATCGTGTTGTTATACTAGTACATAGCGCAACAGCTGCTAAGTACTTAGAAAGAGTTTTTCAACTTGTGTAGGTACGTTCGCAGGGAAAAATTCGGTATCGGTTTTTTTACTTCCTTTTCCTATAACTTCGCTTATTTAACTTGGCCAAGTTTCTGATGGGATTCCGTAGGGTAAGCAGGTGGCTTTCTTTTTGTTTTAGACAGCTCGGAATCAATGTGAGTCTTTCGTTTTTCCCCACTGTTTTCATTGAAATTTATTCAATACGCAAGTTGTACCCCTACAGGAAGATCGAATTTCACGCAAGCACGACTTTGTTTTCTTCGTTATTTATGAGCGGTCGGCCGCAATCCAATGGGCAAATTTTGTTCGAAGGATGATGCCGGGATGAAAAATGTAAAATACATTTTCTCGACCGGAAAATCCAAAGCCTGAATGAAAAGTTATTCACCAGACAGCATCGTTGAAACAACCAAAATTCTTGAAATATCAACGCGTGTCTTGCAGCCGAAAGCCGTGCAAAAAATGCGGTTCACGCGTTCCAAACTACACGTAGTTATGCAAGCGCTCTCGTACTCGCGTCGAAAGACAGCAATTCGGAAAATTTACGAGTCCCTTTCTCCTCTCTGGAGGAGGCTTTTAATAAGAGTTCCATGCTTGTACCTCTCTAATTGTCTGTGTCCCAGCCTCTGCTGGAAGCTTCCTGGAAGTTAGGGAACTTGCGAGTTTCTCCAGCTTGATGTTGCTTTTATGTGTACTTTGGTTTCTATGCCGGCAAACTGGCGTAAGTCTTTTCCCTTTTTTGTGCGTCGTCTTTTTCACTGTACCACACTGTACGTTTCCTTGCCGGTAGTGAAAAGTTTTTCTCCGCGTGCTCTCACCAGGAGTGGGGCTCCTTTGCGTTTTCGAGGAAAAAGCGATGGCGGATTACGCGGGGAACTCACAGTTATCAAGCAATGCATTCTCATTGCGTTCGCATTCGTTGGAAATGAAACTCCGTTTTATACGAATATGCATGATTTCAAACGCACTCTACGCATACTGTTTCTGCAAATCGTTATTCTGCATTCGCAAAGCTCGAACGGTTACACGAACTCTAGCTTTCTCGCAAACTCGGAAATTATCGTCGCCGACATAGATAATTACCGGCGGCGCGTCGTAGTAATTAACTAGGTCGGCACTCGCACCATCGTAACGTTTATTAATTCCCCATATGTATAGCCTCTTGTAAATTGAACTTCGTGCGAAATTACACGCGTCGTCTAATTGAAGATGCCTCGCACACACATGCACACCCTCTCGCTTTACGTGCTATCGTGTCGTATGGTATAATTGCGCGGCAGCTGACTTACGTCGTCAGCGGCAACGTTGTTTAGTGTGTGTTTGTGAAACTAAACTCTACCTGTCGGCTGCAGTAATACAACTGTTTTGGTGGGTACATTGTTTGACGTTTTGAATATTAGTTTATAGTTTCATGTAATACGTTAACATTAATACACGTGGTTCTAATTTTTCCTAATAATTTGGTTGTTAACGAAAATGTGTGAGCGCGTACGTATGTACGTGCGTATGTGTGTATCATAGCGGTACTAAAACTGTTCAAGAAGTTCCTGACATTACGATCAAATATGAATCACAGGCATATTACTAAGTTTGCGTGTTACTAAGTCTATAAGTCGAATCGATCGTATAAAAGCATACGAAAGCTTTTATTTAAAAAAGAGATTATTATGCCAAAGATTAGTATTTTTTTCAATCGTAAGTTAGATAAATTAGCATGCAAGAGAGAAAATGATGAACTAGCCTTTGGCCTTACGAGCTCACTTAATAAAATGGCGACGAAGGTCAATTGAAGATTCAAAAAGTAAATCAGCGTATCTCATAATTATTCAACAGCAAGTGGCCAAGCCTCGTCGATTCAAAAGAAGAGGACTTTGTAGTGCGACGAAGATCAAAGCGCGTGCACTCCCGGTAAATAACCTATTGATTTGTTCCTTTCTCCTTTTCTCTTTGACGGAATCAATATTGTACTTTCTTGACGGCTTGCACACTTCTGCATTTACTTAGGACTCGCAGTCAGCCGGCGAAAGATGTAGCTTAGCTGGCCCGAGCGAGAGACGAGAAAAATTACTTCTGTGTTGCGCCGTACGTGAGACGAATCCCACTAAAGGCTATATTCGTGAAATTCAAGTCGAACGTAAAAATGTATCTTTACTCCGACGACTCGAGTAAGAGAGAAAGACCTACGTACTACTTTTTTCGTTCGATACTTTCTACTAAGAAAAGTCTTTTTTTTTATCGTTGTCTTGGCTATCAAAGTCGCGTGAGAAAATACAAGATTGGTGGCTTTCCTTTCATTTTCGCAGCGCGAGATGAGGCAAATCACGTGGGTATTGTTTCGATTTCATAACTCACTTTGCCCGAAAGCAAAGATGACCATTCAAATGTTGACTTATGTTGGAAAGTTTGCTTACTTGGAGAAACTTTCGATGCAACGGAAAGATGAATACAAAATTGATATTTCTTTCGAGTATCATTGAATATGACTGAAACTTTCTCGAAATCTTCTATTTAATCGACAACAGATATTCCAATTACAACCACAATAGCACTGGACCAATAACTCAAACTATTAACCATGAACAATTAAAAATCAACCTGCATAACACCTCAATATATCAATATATCAATGGCATACCATTCAAAATCCATATACTCCCTCAACCAATAGTGCAATTGCGGAATTCGACGGAAAATCAGGAACGACGAATGACCAAAGCAGCGTATAGCTCTCTCGCAAGATTAGACTTCCGTGTACACACGTATGCAGAGAGACGGGTGTCTATAGTGATCTCTTGGACAAATGCCAAATCGTTGAACGCGCGCACACATACTCACGTGCGGTGGACTCTGTGCATAAGGAATATTTTCTTCCGCGAGATCTATAGTTGCTATATACGACGGATGCAGAGTGAAAAATGAATCAGTCCGTGTGTGATTATGCGTGTGTGATTGACGAACTTTTTAGGCTGCTGTTAGGATATTCATTTTTCTCCTTTTAAGAGAAGGAGAGATCAGTCAGTTGATTTTTGTTGATATTAACACGAAAATAAGTTTTTTATCGCTCCACAAGCTTTGGCGGCAGTCGATGATTTCTTCACATCCAAAGAGGTGTTTGTAATGTTTAAGATTTTTAACTTTCCAATAATGTATTACATCAGATAATGGGTAACCATTTTTATTTATTCCTGAGTTACCTACAATTTTTTAGTAGTTTATTACACTTTAAAACTACAAAGTGATAAAACTACGAGTGTCAGAAATATATAAACGCAGTTTCAAGAATAAAGTTTGCACTGGTTTATGCACAGCTAGAAAAATATTGAGATCCCAAGTGAGTACAGTGGACTGTGTCAAGAAAAAAGCTGATAGTTGTTTATAAAAATGTACACCAGCAGAGCGACCTCTTTTGATTGTCAATCTCATTGTCAATAAAATATCCAAATAATAGAACATTAAAAAGGGGTCCTTTTCATGCTTACTCTTTTTTTCTCTTATTCTCATGAATTGTTTTAATGAAACTTTGGGATATAAAATGTGCTAAGCTTTTTTCCTGGTATTTTACCTCCACGAGTTTTATCCCTGTTTCGCGAATTGTACGTACTACTACCGAAATTGGAAAATTCTTTTGGCTTTTTAAAAAAAGATACGAGGCGGAATATGGGCATTTTTGTTTTCTTGTACCGTTGCACTTTTTTTTACAAAAGCGATGATGCGGAAATAATTCGAGTTCTATTGTTCGCAGAGCACTAAAAAAACTACGTGAAAAAAATACGAATGATAGCATTTTTATCCAATTTCACGCTTTGTTTGTTGGATTATCAATAACAGTCAGTTCAGTCTGCATCTGAAAGTCAATTTCCGCTAAATTGTTTCGACTTCCATTTATTTGTAGGCAAGAGGATCCGGCACTGACAATACACTAACTATATTTCAGTCGACTATCTCTTCAAAACGATTCCTTTTCTTTCATCCACAAAGATATTAATTATATCATTAATAAGTCCCACCATGAGAGCATTATATCCCCCCGGCAGTCAAAATCTCGACAACTAACAGCTGGCACCAAGAGAAAGTAAACTAAATTCCATGCAACAATCGAAACAACAAAAAATCTTTTTTTTGTTTTCCACTGACGGGCGAACGATAGGACGCAAATATCCAATAACCGAAAAAGCACCACAGGCACGCAAATCCGGAAACAGGGTGGGAGTAGAAGCGAGATAGGCTAGAGTTATCCTCAACGTGTGTGTGCATGTAACCTCGGTTTTGCCGTGATAATGGACGCCCTAGTCAGAGAGAGGGAGAGAGAGAGACAATGCAACGGCGTTAACGTCGTTATGTGGAGATGAGCGCGCACCACATTGCGGACGAAGAGAGAGAGAGAGAGAGAGAGAGAGAGAGAGAGAGAGAGAGGAGGGGGGGGGGGTACATTCACGCTTGTGCAGGGTTTAATGAGCACTTTTATTTGCTACTGCTGATTCTCTCGATTATACCACACCTACGCTCGACTATAGACCCTTTAGTATATGGTTTATTTAATCGTGCGTGGAATGGAAATTTTTTATCAGATATGCAATTTCGAGTATACATTTGTTAGATTTTAATTTGTCATAATG